TGCATTTATACAACGCAAGCGTCTCACATGCGCAATAGAGAAAGCAATGACGTTACAGGCCAGGGTGCTCTGTGTTTACAGAAGTTGTCAAGTTCTCTTCTATCTTATGCAGCTTCCCGACTTGAAAAGGGATGGATAAATTGATGCAGACTTTGTTGAACAGGGTTTTACTCAAAGGATTGAACACAGTTTTCTTCCTTTTATCCTCCAATTATTTAGTGAGTGTCAGGATATATTTACAATTGGTCCAGAAGCAGGTAAAAACCTTTAAACAAACCCAAAAGAAGAAAAATAAATACTGATTTGTATGGGGCGACAGTGGCGTTGGATGTAGGAGTTTGTCCTGAAATCGAAGGGTTGACGGTTCAAGCCCTGACTCCGACTTTCAGTGTCGTCGTGTCCTTGGGCAAGACACTTCACCTGCATTGTCTACCTCTGGTGGTCAGAGGGCCCGGTGGCGCCAGTGTACGGCAGCCCCGCTGCGTGAGTTTGTGCGTGAATGGGTAAATGAATGTAGTGTAAAGCACTTTGGTCAAGTCTCCTGACTTGAATAAAGGTGCTATATAAGTACATGCCATTTACCATTTACCATGTTAGCTTACATAAATTAGTTCCACTTAAAGGAAATGATAAACTGTACAACACTAAGCAAACCGCTGTGAATCAAACCCACAAAGTCATTAAAGTTAAATGAACAAGTAACTAAACTTAAAGTTCCTTAACTTTCAAATACATTTCAATTACAATTTCGACTGTCTGTGTGGTCGTCCTTCTCGATTCGGTGCCGGGGCGCTCCATTTTTAAAAACCGAGGAACAACTACAATGGACAACTACGACAAAAGGTTAATTGAGGAGGTTCGGAAGTACAACCACTTGTACAATGCATCAGACAAATTATATAAAGATGCCAAAGTCTCTGCCAAAACAAAGTTCTTGTGACCATCCGCCGAAGTTCTTGCAAGTTCTCCAGTAGGCTCCCTCTAGCGCTTTGGCGAGAAACTGCTGTGCGTCCCTAGAAATTCCAGACTGACGGTGCAAAAGAATACCAGCAAAACTGGTTCACAACCAGACGCAAGCGACATTTGATGTGTGCGGTTGCAGAAGTAGAATCTGCCCTTAATTATCCGCACAAGCATAATGCTGTTAAGCTTGTAAGTAGGGCAGATTAATCGTGATTATTGAAATAATCGTCAACTAATTTAGTAATTGATTAATCCTTAATTGGAGTATAGGAAAAAAAATCCTTTAGCTGACAGTAACCTACTTAGAGCAGTTATTGTACAAAAATTGTAGAAAAAAAAATATTAATATTTTGCATTTTAGATAAAAAGATATTTTTTCCTGTCGATATGTTTGATTCAGAACTCAACAAGTCAAAAAAGTTTTAGTTTCACCTGTTTTAATTCTTTATAAAATCTTCTTTCAGGAACCTTTCGCTGTCCGATTATTAATGGATCAATCAAATAATCGTTAGTTACGGCCCTGGTTTTAAACCAGAAGGTCCAGTTTTGCTCCTCGCTGATTTATCACCTTCCTGTGACAAACTGCAGCTTTCTGTTAAAGATGACTTTCTTCATACAAGGTGAGCCGATCTGGATGTCGTAAAGATGGAGAGAAAACAAACAAAACACAGCATTTTGTTGCTGTAATTTGAATAAATATGAAACACCTTCGAGGTTATGAGGAGCTTTCTCCTGTAAAGCCCTTTAAAGTGTCAGACGTATATTATAAAGTTGCTGTCTGGCACTGTTTGTTTAAACTAACAGCTTCACTAGCGTCTATTTATTTATTTGTTCATTTCTCCTTGCCTCCCCTTTAGGTGCGGTTCAGATGATGTCCACCACCATCATAGGCTGCCTGAAGATGTTCATTCCCTGCTGCCTCTACAAGCACAAATCCAGATCTGAGTACCCAGCCAACTTCATCATGATCATGCTGTTTGTTGGGCTGATGAGGTGCTCGCCCTTCAAACCACATCAACTATTATGCAGCAGCTGATGCTGAATCAGCCGTTTGGAGGAAAAAAAAATCTGACTTGACAAAAATTCCTTGTGTGTGCTCTTTTAGGTTCACCACTGTGGTTCTGGGATTAGTGAGTTTGAAGAACGTGGCGGTGTCGTTCGCTGAGACGGTGAAAAGCTCGGCGCCCATATTTACTGTAATCATGTCCAGGTTGATCCTTGGAGAATATACGGGTGAGCAGACGTGCTTTAACGGCAGTTAAAGCTGTATTTTTAGCTTGGTTTGGTTAAGTAGCAGATCAGATTTCATTGGTTTGGCCTCATATTACGAAGATATAAACCAAACATCTGATAATTTAAAGATTTAAACTGAGGTAGACCTGCGTCTCTATGCTAGATGATCTCATGACCCGGAGCTGTAGGGCAAAAACCTTCAATACGAGTCTCTATCTGGTCACACCAGTGGAGCAGCCAGGAGGAATCGGCTCACTGGTGTCATGTTGACAGCAGCCCTGAATCATTCATGTAATTGTTTCTGTTTGTTGTCCGACCTGCAGGCCTCTGGGTAAACCTGTCCCTGTTTCCTGTCATGGCCGGCCTGGCCCTCTGCACAGCCTCAGAGATCAGCTTCAACATGCTCGGCTTCTCCGCCGCGCTCTCCACCAACATCATGGACTGGTCTGTACCTCGGCCATCGCTCCCATCCTCAGCACGCCGTAACCTTTAACTAACTGCGCTTTTCTTGACCCCAGCCTGCAGAACGTTTTCTCCAAGAAGCTGCTGAGCGGAGACACGTACAGATTCAGGTAAAACAAATAAAAAATTGTCTAAATCTTTTGTATTTGTGTGCTTAAGACTCTAAAGAAGCATCTTTTCAGCCCCCCAGAGCTGCAGTTTTACACCAGCGCAGCAGCAGTCATTATGCTGATCCCTGCCTGGGTGTTCCTGCTGGTAGGTAAACACTCAAAACCTCTGATCTGAAATGTTGTTCTAGCTAAATAAACATTAAACGGCCACGTTAAGCTAAAGCCAGTAGTTATCTAAAAACATGCCAAAGGATTCATAACCCTCAGACATCCACATCTTATCAAATTACATCCCCCCAAAACATCTGATGCTGCATCCACCGCCATCCGCTTGAGATTTTTACCCCCGTCTCTCCTCCTCTAAAAAGAAAAGCAAAATTTACACTAAACTGAACACAAGTTGACTCTTAAGTTTGTGTTTTTACTGTTAAAAAAATTAAATAAATCAACCTTCAAGATATAATCTGCAAGGCAGCGTCTGGCACACATTGGTACCAACCAAGGTCCTCTGCTGATAATAAGAAGATAAGAAGGCCAGCTGTGTTTTCTAATCCAAAGCTAAAATAAAAATGCTTTAATTTCTGTTATATTCAGCATCTGGGAGTTGAAGGCCGCTGCTCTTTGTTTCCTTCCTTCCAGGATTTTCCAGCTGTGGGAAAAGGAGGGCAGAGGTTCTTGTTCAGTCAGGACATTATCTTGTTGCTGCTGTTTGACGGCGGCCTGTTCCACCTGCAGAGCGTCACCGCCTACGCCTTGATGGGGCGCATTTCCCCCGTCACTTTCAGGTAACGGACCCAGAACCATCTCGGTTTGGATCCACTTAAATGTTGTCTTGGAGCAAATACTGCAGTGAATTCACAACACTATTTAGCCTACTTCATGAGATAAACCTGCTATCACCGTTATCTTCTGCACACCAAAGTCCAAATAGAGTTCAAGAATAATCCTGAGATACCAAGCCCACATTTATCTAATGTGCACTGCAGTCTTAATCCCAATAATCCACACTGCCACATTTTAACAAAGAGAAAAGAAAGAAAATAAAAAGAATGGTAACTGGTTCTGCTGGTTTAAGAGTTTTAACATAATAAACCATCTGTTAAACTGTCATGCTTGTGGTTGCGGTCATTCATTACCTTTGGGTTGAAAGGTAACAGGAGCAAACAAGCTTAAAGAACCAAACCCGCGATAAAACTGAATCTCTTTGTAACAGTTAAGCAGATACAAGGTAAAAATAAATAAAAACAATGATCTCTTTTTACACTCATAACAAAAATACCTCCTAATAAAGAGATCAGCAGACGATGGTGCTATTTTTTTAATCCAGATTAAAGGGGGATCCATCTATTGAAATCACTTCCTCACTTTAAATTCGTTGTGTTTTTGATGAGTCAGCAGATTTCAAAGGCGTTTTCCACAGGATTGTGCCGATACTGTCAGCTCCCTGTCTTTGCTATCGCTAATCAACAAACCTGCACATCAGCTGCAATCTGCATGGCAGCTGTCAGAATATTTACAACCTTCCTGTTTCTACCATCTACAAAATATTTAGTCCTGTTGTCTCTCGTCCAGAAGTGGGAATCTTAATTCATGAATTAAGATTTTATTACTTATTAATAAAATTATTATCAATTAATAAGATTTTATTAATGTGCTCTTCACATGCTTAAATAAAAGCGTCATTGACTTCTTTTGAAGGCCAAATAAAGATGCATCTTTTTTTTTAATCGGCTTTTTCCTTATTTGTTTGGTTTGTTTTGTTTGTTGAAGCACTGTCTTGAAATCTGCTATATGCATAAAGATTTACTGTATTATTTTATCTTAGTTTTATATTTAATTTGAATAACTGTGATTAATTGATTATTTAAATAATCGTCGACTAATTTAGTAATTGATGAATTATTAAATGAGAGTAGAGACTCTAAAATATGCCTTTAGTTGACAGAGCGACCCAATTAGAGCAGAAATTATACCAAAATTGTAAAAAAATATATCTACATATTTTGCATTTAAAATAAAAATAAATTTTTTATCTGTCAATATGCTCTATCCAGGACTCCTCAAGTAGAAAAGATTTAGTTTGACCTGGTTTAATTCTTTTAAAAAATTGTTTTTAAGGAACCTTTTGCGATCTGATTATTAATCAATTAATCGTAAAAATGATCAACAGATTAATCGATTAGCAAAAGAATGATTAGATGCAGCCCTAGTTTATGTTTTCCCACCGAATCAGACAGAGGCAGCTGCCTGAGTTAAGTAGATAAAAAGCTTTTGTGACCATTTTAGTTTCTCAGACATTTTATAACACTGTCTCCCCTTATTTTTTCTATTTCTTTTTTTTATTCATCTTATTTGTTTTTCTTTTTGTTCTTTTGTTTTTTTTCCATTTTAAAATACCTGTGAAATTTAGTTTTAATGCTTATTACATATTTTCTATTTGTCCAATAAGCCTCAATTCAATACTGAAATATTACTGTCCATCAGTTATTACATATATCAAACGGAACAAGCTGTTGCAAACACCCAAATATTTAGAAATGAATTAAGATTAATGGGATGCCCAAACATTTTCCTTGGACTGTGTGTATATACCCATGCAGACAGGAAGAAATGTGTCGTCATTTCCCCGTCCAGAGGATTGCATGCCCTGGAAGTGAAACAAATACATTTTTTCAAATTAATAAAAACTACAGAATTTAATTGAAAGAATTTTAAGTCGATTTACAAAACATGTTCTTTGCTTGCAATAAAAATAAAAATTCCCTCCATAGCTATCAGCCAAAATGTTCATATCTGTCCCTAATGGTTTCAGGAGTCAGATTTAAACATAAAGCTGTTTATATCGGCCGTTACTCTGTGTGAAACTGTAGTAGCTGTGCTTGACATTTAAAAACCAGCAGTAACATCTCTCTCCCCTCCTCAGTGTCGCCAGCACCGTAAAACATGCGCTGTCGGTTTGGCTGAGCGTCATCGTGTTCAGCAACCAGATCACTATCCTCAGCGCCACCGGCACGGTCCTCGTCTTCATCGGAGTCTTCTTGTACAACAAAGCGCGTCAGTTCCAGAGGGAGACCCTGCAGGCCATGGCTGCTGAACAGAGCAACAAACCATTGCTGCGGGACCAGGATTTCCAACCCTCACAGCCAAAGTGAGGATTAAAAGCCTCACATTCCAGTTAAAGACAGTCTTTATGGAGATGAGGTTAACCTGCGCCACCTGTCAGGCGAAGCTATCTGCATTCCTGTGGAACTAGACGAAAAGTATTTCCTTACCACACTTCTTTGTTCCTTTTTTTTTGTATGCGTGCATTTTAAAGTTGTAAACTCAGGGAATTGCTGCTCGGTTCTTCTGTGGTACAGCTGCTGCTAGACGCGCCACGGCTGCACCATTTAAACTGTTGCAGGTGGTGCAGCCTCTGCCACGCCACCTGATGCAACATAAAGCTCATTTGGAGTTTTGATGTGTAAAAGAAATATTTGATGCCTCATTTCTTTTTTTTTTTGTTAATAGTTTTTTCCTGCTTTGACACATTTAAAGGAAATGTGAAATTAGAGAGCCATGATTTGCATTCTAGGAATGCTTCTGTCATGTAAGTGTGTTTATTTTTTCTCTTTAACTTACTGTAAGAAAAATTACAAACATACATTCTGACCACAGTCATGTTGGCTGTAGTGTCTGCACACAAATTAAGGGTCTTGTATAATATGTATTTTATTAATCATATTTTTTATACTCTTTAATGAGGTTCTGTGACTAAAAATGCAACTTGTGCTCAGATTTACATTAAGAGCTGACTGACTTGAACGTAAACATTTTTTATTGACGTTAAACCCTCTCATCGCTGCTTTTTGTTATATTTTCACATGTGTGCGCATAAACAGCTGTTTTTTTTTTTTTTGTTCAAAACTGATTTGCTTACAATGAATAACTAATTGTAAACTGTGATGAAGCGATAAGAGGTTTTCTACTCTAATGTAAATATATCACTGTGGATATAATAATGTTTTGTCCTCCATGGAAAAATAAAAAACAAATCCTTCCTGCAGCGGGTTTGCTCTGTCGTTTATTTGGTTTGAGTTTCTCGGCCGCAGCAGCTTAGATGAAATCTACAGCCTGCGTTGGTAAAAGGTGCAATGATTGCATGGCGCAGAAATTAGAGCATAGAGTGGTTTATTATTACAGAGGTCCCTTTCATTGCCTTAGTAACTTAATCTCAGTGATACTATTCTAAAAAAAAATACCAACTGGCAATGTCTTTTATTAGGAGCAACATAAAGCACAAACCTGAAAAGGGTTTTATTTATCTATATTCAGCCTCCTTTGCTTTTATAACTCCAAATATACCTAATGTATATATAGTCCACCTGTGTGTAAATACAGCTGTTCTGTGAGGGCAGGAAAGGTTTGTTAGAGAACGAGAGATGCTGGAGACCAAACAGCATCGTGGGGACCAAAGAGCACTACAGATGTGTTTTGGAAAAAGTTGGTTCATAAAAGATTATCTTCTGTTATGAGCATTTCAAAATGCTCTGTGGAGCAGCCAACATGCTCATGGTAATTGGAGAATATGTTTGCAGAAAAATAATTTTCTTTCCTCTGTTTAAACAGGTAGTATATTTAAAGATAAAATAAAGTTTAGTGGAAATGCTCCATGGTTTTGGGTACAGCCAAACATAGGACAGATATGTTAAACCCATAATTTTAAAGAAACATGGACTGTCTAATTACAGCCTTAAACGTATTCTTTACTGAAAGATGTATAGTGCTCTCTTGTCATGTGATACGAGCCAAGCTTATATGAGGTTTAAATGCAAAGGAACTGCTCTATCTGCAGTGTTATGCACTGTTTAGACCGGAGAGCCCAGATGGTAACTCCACATTTTAATCCATTATAGAATTAAGTAAGAATTGTGTTCTTGCTCTTGAAAAAAGCAAGAACATAATTTCTATAAAATCCAGTCTGGCATTTATGGAGAATAAAAAAAAAAGCAATATTAAAAAGGATTTTAGACAAAAATCTGAATTATGTCATTTGACCTTCTTTAAAAGCTAGTGTGCATGAAAAACAAACATCACCTTGGATACACCATCCCGATGTTGGAACATAGTACTGGCAGTATAATGCTGGGGGGATGTGTTCACTAACTGGAGACAGTGGAGCAGGTCTCAGACTATAGGGCAGGGGTCCGAATAAAGAAATACAACAACCAGTAAAGGTCCAGAGACATTTTTAATTATAATCTATTAATTTAAACAGAATATAACACTGAAATAAAATGAGGTGTTTATGCATCCATGTTATATAATGAATTTTCAAATAAAGAAATATTTTAAAAAGGTGAACATTTTTACATTTTTAAATCTAAAGTGTTTTTTTAAGTAGAGAACAATATTCTTTCAGTTTTGTATATAGACAATTTCCCGATTCACATATTTTATAAAACACCTGAAGTGACCGTTTTTTTTATTTTTTTATTTCTTTTTTCTGGCTTAATGAGAGCAGTGGGCTTCAGGCTGCCCTGCAAGGCTTTAAACCTGGGTTTGAATGAAGACAAAGCCATTCTAAAGCACCTTTCAAGGTGCTTATTTTGAGCCTGGATCCATATTTATTTTTAATTATGTTCATGGTGGAGAATCCTGCTTCACAGCAGCAGGTTAAGCCAAACATACTTAAAATGTGCAGGGTTGTCTTTGAGCACACCATTTCACTTTTTACTAGTTCCATTCCACACTTTCTCTGCTTTCGTTTTCTCATCGTCTTCTCCTTTCCCTCCGCCTGCTGTGTCTGAAAGTACTTTAAAGGACGCTCCGCAGGGCTTTACCATATTACCAGGAGAAGCAGCGCAAGTGAAGTTAGACACTTGTCGGACAACATGCAGTAATTTATAAATGTTTTAAATCAGGTTGGGTCCGGATCTGGCCCCTGATCCGCTAATCTGTGACTTCTTCTATAGGGAGACAGATTTGGCTAAATATGGACCAATCTTGGAAGTTTTTCAAAAATAATAATGGCTATAGGCCCTCTGCAGGAACTACATAATAATATATATCTATGTGTGGATGTAATGTACATTCAACATCAAAAAAATAAATGCAACTGAGAACAAGAATTGAATATTGAAGTTTTTCTCTATTTAGTCTGGTCAAGCTTGGCCACTTGGGAACAAACTATGGTGAAACATGTCCGATAGACAGATACTCTTGTTTGTTTGATTGAAAACTAATAATTTACCTCCAGCCTATTAAATATAAACTCCTTTTTGTTGATCATTTAGATAATATTACATGTGGCTGTAATGTGAGAAAATTTAAAAAGGTTCCTTTACGTGGCGCGGCAGAATTGGGATTGATTTAAGAGACGGATTTCCTCTTGGTTTAAAGGCCCATTTGGCTTCCTTTTCCAGAGAGTTTTGTCTTTTATTTAAAACACTCTAAAAAGTAATAAAATCATATTTCTGGCACAAGTTTAGGAATAAATATAATGTAATCAGAAGTTTTCGAGTATCTGTAGACATATAAATTATCTTTCAACAACCCTATTCCTGACACCTTAGTAAGAGAAGCACTGCTGCTGACACCTCAATGGTTTTTTCAAAAACCCATCAACATCAAAATCCAATCATTATTTAATAAACAATGTAAAAATGCTGTTTTTCTGACATTTTCTGAAAAACAATTGGGGAAAGGGAAGCTATAACAATGGTAACCCTTCATAAGATCATTAAATGATACAGAATAAAAATTGTGCCTGTAGTGCAGAAAAGTATTATGTTGAAGATCTGACTAAAGAGAAATCTATTTTCATCTTTGAACGTCATAAAACTTATTAAGTTAATGCAATAATTCACATCTTTCACTCTCCTAGTTTGAAATAAACCCTTATATATATAGCAAGGCTAAAACAGAACACTTTATAGATTTAACATTAACAAAAAGGCAATGCAAATGTTCAAATGTCCTTGGATTAGGAGTGGTCTAACAGATAATTCAAGCCTGTAAGGAGAACTAGCATATTTGAGGCAGATATGTGCTTAGAAAATAAATCTTAAAAGCTTAAAGTTTGTAGGTTGTTAAAAAAATTGCATAACATAACATGACATCAGATAGTCCCATTATAGGATCTTAGCTAAAATATTTCAGTAGTACTAGAATAAATTATGACAGTGTGGCATTAAAGTTGGGAAGCTAATGTCAGCAGCTCTCATCTATCACAGAAGCACCCTAGCTTAGCAGAAAATCTAATGATGTATGCTATATTGGTGTTGAAAGAGTATTGTAATAAAAATGTGGTTTCTCTGTTAGGCTGTTGAGGCTTTTAGGTTTAGTCGAACTACTTTTATTTGTGTATCCTTAATCAGATCATATATGTACTTAAATAAAAGCAAGTTTTGGTAATTTGATGGTTCTGCGTTCAGAATTTGAGTAATGAGCTGATTTTTCTGTACAAACATAAGGGAACAGGAGGTATTGGAACTCATTTTGTTATTATTTGTCAATGAATGAAATGTAACCTGGAAACTGTTAGACTTAAAGTTAACTTTCTTGCTTCCTTTTTGAAAAACAAAGTCCTTTTTTACTAGCGAAGATGCTTCTATTTACTAGGTGAACGGAAAATCTTCAGCAGACTCTCGTAGGTGAGGAAGGTGACGGCGTTGACAGGGAAAGCCCTGACACTGTTCAGTAGAAGACCCTTGAAGAAGACTCTGACTCCTTCGTCCTTTAAGCTGACTCTTATGCAGTGCAGGACGCCGCTATAGTGCCGACCGCCAGCTCCAGACATTTGGAGCCGAGCCTTTATGACGTCCATGGGTGTGGCGCATGCCCAGGTCACTACACCTGCTACGCCCCCCGCCATAAGTATTGCAAAGGTACCTGAGGAAACACAAAACATTAGGAATTATTATGAAAATCAGTTACTGTACTGTAGTGTGTTAAATGATACTTTTGGGGGGTGTTTTTCCACATTTTATACAAATAAGCTTTAAAATACATTTTCTAAATTTTCCTTAAAACTAAGGTCTGTGAAAGATAAGTTCCATTTTTATTATAAAGCTGGCAGCCATATGCAGTTCCAGCAGATTCCATAACAGTTTCTTCCCCACTGCCATTAGACTGCTGAATGTTGTGAAAAATGGGTTATTTTATTTAAAGAAAAAAAAGTATGTTAGAACTGTAAATATACAGTCATATTCTTATATTACTATTTTTTATGTATTTATTACTGTTTTCAAGGCTGCATTTGAAAATGAAATTGTCTAGAGCTGTTTCAAACGAAATGTCTTTTTGTTTACACTCGTGTATACATAAGGACAAAATAGATCTGTCTAAGTCATATTTGATTTGGAAGTTTGGTTTGGTTACAAAACAATACTTTCAGTCACGTATTTGTAGCTTGTAGGGTTATGAATTGGCAAAAATTTTGCAATATGATACATATCACAATATGTGTGTTACGATACAATTTATCCAGACATCCTACAGTAACAAAGATGATGTGTTTCAATTTCTATTATTATACGGCTCTGGAAAGCATATCTCGTTGTTCTGCTTTGGTTGGTGCAGAAAGGCTGTATAATAGTTGTGTATTTCCAACTAGTGGCAGGGGTGTCTTAGTGCTAGGTAAGATTATGAAATTAAAGTTTGCTCTAGTATGTTCAAAAAAGATTCTTAGACGTGAGTTCTTGCATCAGGAATCTCAGACTGACCTGGCTCCTCTCCAGTCTCAGTCAGGGTTTTGCGGATGACCTCATAAGGGAGGAAATAGAGTCCATAACAGGGTACATCCCTCAGAGCCATAGCCACCCCTCCTTTGTACAGACCCTTTAGACCCTTCTCCTTCAGTATGACAGCTACGCAGTGTATGGGTCCACGGTAGCGCTCAGCAGCAGTTTGACCCTGCAGACGCACCTTCACCAGATCAATTGGAGCACAAACCAGCACCTGGAGGCACAGGATCATAAAGTATTAGTCAACTCTAATTATTTTAAAATTACATAGATATATTTTAAACATTTGTTCTTATAACAAGACATGAAAAACTTTAATCTCCTCTTTGGTTATTTCTCTTTTCTCTTTTGTTGCACTTAAATGCCTCTCTTCATTGTTATCAGAGTTAATACAAAATGCAGATTTCAGATAAATTTCATTGTTACTGAAAAAATAGCCTCAAACCAATCTGGCCTTATGTTAACACATACTTCTCACTTTGTTAGATATAAAATGCATTTGGAGGTTTTCTTTATTTAAGATCAAACTGATCTTAAATAAACTTCTAAATACATTCTTATCAGATATTTTTGCTTGTTTTAAAGCAGTATGTCTAGTAGTGCAGCTGCTACTCCAGGTTTCATAAAAAAAAAAAAAGTCCATTCAGAGTGAACGATGCTATGCACTGGAAAAAAAATGAAATTGAGATAAACTATTTTTTTCTTAAAATAAATTATTTTTGTCTCAAATTGAGGAGGAAAGTGAGAAACTTTTCCAGTGGAACAAGACAATTTACATTTAAAATAGGAAAAAAATAATTGCATTGTCTTATAATTGCATTGTCTTATTTTAAGTGCATTTTATATAATTGTCTTATTTTAAGAGTAGAAATACTCATTGCATTGGCAGATCCTCTTTTTTACCTGCCCAAATTTAAGGCATACACTTAATTTAAAAAAGTTGACTTATTTCTAGATGGTTTTTGCAGTGTGTTCCACTTTTAGCTGTCCCACCCCGTACTGTTCTCTGCAACACTGATGTCCAACTGTTAAAAGAGAGACCTGTGTTTGAAAGGCTGTAGCAAACAGGAATCCTTTGTGAACAGAGTAAAGATTGGGAAGGAAACATTGTGCAGAGTTGCAGAGCAGGGCGGCCAACACAGTGTCCTGTGCAAAAACATCCTGTTCGCTCTCAGTGATCTCCTTCCTTTTCTCCTTCAGTATTTGGAAATGGGACGGATCAACAATGCTAAACGTCCAACGATGGAATCAATATTACAATAAATGCTTTTAGTATTTACTCAGTTTATCTCTGTCCGGACCTTTTGCATAGCACTAATATAACTTCAATGCTTTGGTAATGGCGGTTTGCTGCCATCTGAAGGTAAGTAAAACAATATTTATGATGGATCAAAAATCCTCTTTTTGGGCTACTTAGAGCTAGATGGGGAATACTCTGATAAAATAACATTAAATGGATGTGGTCAGCAGCTATCTGAAAACTCATCAAATTGATTCCCTCTGGTAGATAATTTAAAGTTTTGATGTATCTCTTAGTTATGACACCACAACTTTTTGAGTGGCATAGTTTTAAAGCTTTGTTTTTTTAAAGTTTTGCCTTTTTTTTTTCAACAAAAAGACGTTTTTGACTCATATTTGATGGCGGTACAGAGAAATCTGATCATCAGGTCTGTTTTACAGCTTAAATAACTAAAAGCCACTTAAGCAGAAATGTCATTTTATAAGTTTGAGACGTTGAACCGGGCTGCTCCATGAGACCATAAAAGACTCATCCAGGAGGTAAAAGAACAACCGAAAACCACATTTACTGCCCTCCAGTTCTCACTCGTCTCACCATTAAGAATGACCCACAACAAAAATGTCTTCCATTGATTCCCTTGAGAAACTTGTTTCATCCCAAACTTCAGGCTTTTAAGAGCTAAGTACTGTGTTCAATCTGATGTAAAACTATGCCATCCCCGAAAAAAAAGAACATCATAGCGACATTTTAACAAATGGATGTATAGATTTGGAACTATTTGCCAGTTTAAGACATGCAGAAAAGATGCAGGGAATTTGCTGATCTTGCAGGAACTTAGAGTAGAAGCCCCTGCCTCACCATATTAAACAGTCTTCAGACATTTTTCAAGCACAGGGTCTGGGCAGATACATGACAACAGAACCGCTCAGCTGTGGAATCATATCAATCCACTAGTCTGGAATATTCCAGACTAGTAGGCGAGAAGTCTGTCAGACATAGATTAGGGAACTACTAACTTTACTTTCTAGGAAAGGAAGGCAACAATAATACCTCCTCATTGACCAAAACATCACCACTTTCCCAGCAGGTAAGAAGAAATTGATGTTGGTACTCAACACCTCAGTCTATCCAAGGAAAAATAAATATGTAAAGTAACTTATTCTGGAACCTAAGAGGCAATGATGAGGTCTGTTGAGGACTATTGGTCAATGTCTCAATTAGATTTGGAGGTTTAGCACTTGAGATTGTTCTTATGTATGTCTTGTTATCTTATATAAAAAAACAAGGGAAACTGATCCAATAATCTTCTCTTGCTAGGTTTTATGACTTCAATAGAACATTAACTTAAATGCTAAATGACTTTTTCTCCTTTCTTTTAAATCTCTCAAATTATCATAAGATACATCAAAGATATATCACAATTACCCTGCTGTTACCACTGACTGTTAAATGAAAAACATTCACTCTGAGGCCAAAGCACCACAGAATCAAAGCCATACCAATACACGCTGGGTATATTAGCAAATAGAAGTTTGTGTGAAAACCACTGATTCTAAAGGGACCATACCTGCACAACGCCTGAGATGCAGCCCGCAGTGAAGACTTGCACAGAAGAGGCTTGTTTGCAGGGGCTGCGGATATTGCAGTCAGACTGAGAGATGTAATGTAAAGCATTGCTGTAAGAGCCAAAGACGATGGAGTTGGCCAGGCCAGTGGTCAGAACAGGAAAGGACATGCCTTTGAAAAATCCACGGAGCTGGAGTACAGATAAGATACAGAATAGTCAAAGGGCTTATGCTTAAAGGTTTATTATTAAAACAAGTGAGGATGTGTCACCTACTCCTTCATTCAAGTATGTTTTAGCCACACAGTCAAACATCCCTTTATACACAGACTTTGCTTGCAGACGCACCTACAAGCAAAACAAGATGTTTTATGATTTACACAGGATTACATATGTGGAGGTTTCTGAGCACCGCGTCACCTTCACTGTGTCCAACGGATGTCCAAGTGCAATCCCCACTGCACCTGCAAAAACCATCGAGGAGAAGTTTTAATTCCAGACGTTCAAGCATCAATCTGTGTTTCTGTTTTCAGAGACTTCACTAATGTTGTTTTTACCTGAAATGCTCCCAGCTACAAACTCCAAAAAAGGCATGACTTCACAATCAACAAAGCGATTCGTTTACTTGAGGCAGTACATTTACAGCCGCTTATGTACAAACTCCACCATAACCAGCTGCTGGATAGTTAATGAAGACAGGAGTTAAAAAAAAACTAACCAGGTGAAAAGGGAACATTGCTCTGGGCTGTAAGACTTTTCTTTATTATGTAGGTCTCTCTTATTTAATTAAAACAAGATGTAAAACCTTTCATAGCAATGCAGTTTATTTAAGTTAAGTTGTGCTGTATAGTTTAACTTTGTATGAAATAGTAATTCCAGTGACAGATTGTCCTAAGGTGGAGCATGAAGAGGTTTGCTAATGAGTCAGCAGTGCTTACCATCAGAAAGCGTCGCCTCATTGTTAAAACGTCTTTACAGATCTTTTTTTCACATAGTTTTGCAGCTTGTGGTTGATCTTTGGCTCCAGCTCTGAAGAGGTTGTATATTCAGCATGGCCGTCCTTTCAAAATAAAAGCTCTCTCTGATTACATGATTGTGCCTACGTTAGAAAACAAAGCAACATAGAAGGATTTTTAAGAAACTTATTTTTTCACACTTAGTTACAACGACATATACAAAAGATGTTGTTCTTTTCTCTTCTTTTTGGTCTTTATTATTTATTTTTTTCATGGTGATGTGACTTTGTTGTTTGTTTATATTGGTGAGCAAATAGTGAGAAGTTAAATCTTATTTGTTCAACAAGAGCAGAGGCTTTCAACCTTTTCAGCTTCTGACCCACAAAGTGGTGCCTGGGTTTGACTAAAGTTTTTACATTTCTTTTACAAGAAAACCACAGGTGTAATGACATCGACCAAAGTAGTTGGTTTTTTTTATTTCTAAGTGATGTTTTTATGTCTTTAAGCGCTTTAACCTTTTTAATTGTAATTTCTGTAGTGGATCTCCAGACCCCATGGTGGTTGCTCGAGTGTGAGCCCGACCCCAACTCTGGGAATCAATAGTCTGACTCTAAACAAATGATAAATAAATAATTCAATGTGATAAAAAATATAATTTATTAATTAACATTATTATTTCCCTTCATATGTAATATTTTGCATGAATTAATCTGAATTTTTAGGGGATCACCAGACTGTCACATCACATTGAGAACCTCTGCTCTGGAGCATGGATAACTTTATGTATTTACTGTATATATATATATATATATATATAAAAACATATTTTAGAAATATGGAGCCTAGCTGGAAGTTCAACTGAAGAAACAAATTGCTTTACTACATCCACCTTCGACACAGCCAATCAGCTTTGAACCACACCTCCACGAAAGCCAATCAGCATCCAAAGTTCATCTTAAAAGGCCTCCGATACGCACCTGTCTGCTCCTGTGCGCAGGCGGCGGATGCGCTGTGTGAATTCAGATGACACCGTTTCAACCAACCTCCATCCCCTCCTCTGCCATCATAGTAAAATCTTCATCAGAGTTTAATTTCTTCCTGGACTCTTGCTGCGTTCCCTGTCTCATCTTAACCGGTCCATCAGAAGACTGCAATGTTGAACCTGGTTCTGCCAGAGGTTTCTTCCCAATGGGGAATTTTTTCCTCTCCACTGTCGCTTCATGCTTGCTCATCATGGACAGGTTCATGCAACCTGTGTTATCCAAGCTGGACTTCCATTTTCCAGGTCCCTGAGTGAAGCTCTAGTATCAGCTCACACAGTCCACTGGATCTCCCCATAAAGCTCAGCATACCGTCTCCCTAACCAGCAGTCTACACACTGACCAACTTCATCTATCTCCACTCCACCACCAGTTTCATGCCTGGGGGGCGGGACATCCCTGTTCTTTGCTCCTGTTCATGCATATCTATCAAAATACAGCGCTATGTTTCCTGCCGAGGTCTGAGCACCAAAGACAAAGTAATTGCTTGTCCACAATGTTACGTCCACCAAGCTTGTTTGATGGGGGTAACATTAAAGGAGACCACACAAGGATTTTCTTATTAACTGAAATTTAATGTATTGAATTGTACTAAAGAAACAAAAAAAAACTGAAAAAGGGATAAATAAAATGGGAAATCAAAAATGGATTAATACAAAACCTATAACTAAACAGAAATAAGCCAATGCAAACAAAACTAACAAAACCCAACCATAGGATACAAACCAAACTAAACGGGGTTCTGAGGAGGAAAGAGGGAGAAGCCTCCTGTCTGCTGCTTGTATGACAGCTTTTAAAGCAGACAAGCACCAATTAGGGCAAAACAGAACACCTGCAGAAGGCCTGCCCCCAGAGCCCCGTAAGGAAAAGGGCAGAAACCCGCTGCAGGCGTCACACCTCCCCCTTTAAAACAGAGGATCCCAACTAGGACCTCTGTAGCTATTTTTCTGTTAGTCTGGTCCATCAACGGCACGAGAAAATGCATCAACCAGCACATTTTCAGTGCCTCAAATGTGCCGCATATCAAGGTTGTAAGGTTGCAGGAATAAGGCCCATCGCATCAACCGCTGATTTGGACTCTGTAAGGAGTGCAAAAAGGTCAAAGGGTTATGATCTGAATACACCACAACAGGAAATGCACCTCCACCCACATACACATCAAAGTGCTGCACATCCTCATCTAATCCTGCTGTAGCTCAAGTCTGCTTTCACAGAAGAGGCAAATGCCTTCACAACTTTTTCTTCCAAAGTGCGCCCAAAATAAGGTTTCAGTAAGTTTACATGACAAAGCTGAGTTGGTCGTTTACGGTCTGGGGTAGAAACCATATAGTCTTGTGCAGACGTTTGTCGCAACACAGAATATGGACTAAAACTTTGCCTGAAATGATTAACCTTGAATGGGAAGTAAGGCAAGCAATTAATTGTATCAATAAATTTCTCCTAATTGTTCTTTCTCTTTGTGTGAGTTTTTCAGATTGAAATACTACATGTTCTTAGAGACTCTAATTATTTATTTCAGAAACCAGTTCAAACCATCATTTTGTAATATACTTCTCAAAGGCATAATAATAACCCTTCAACATTTTTCCAGTTTTTGTTACTTTAAACTCCACGTACATTACATCACAAAGGTTGTGGTATATCAATCCTTTGAAAGAAAACTTTATTTTAAATGATTATATATTGCAAAGTATAGTACACAACCAATGTAATATGGCAGCAATAAAAGGGAATTTGCCAAAAGAAATCTTTTGTTTCACCAAAATTAAAGGATTAAAAGGTATAAAGACACACGGGGCTCCTCAGTGAAGCAGTGGATAGCATTGCTGCCTTGCAGCAAGAAGTTTTCCAGTTCGGAAAGCCCACATTCATATCTTCAGGTAACACAGAGTACATGTCAGACTTAATAATACTACTTCAGCGATAGTTTCAAGGTGTCTCTTTATTGTATGTCTCGTACCATGTCTTTCGGTTGTGGTGTTCTTTTTTCATCTCGTTACAGGTGATGAAGCAGACTGAAAATGTTTTGTCATTGTCTCTTTTCTATCTCCTCTTTCTTTCATCTTTTCTCTTTTTTTACTTTTTCTTTTTTCCTTTTTCTTCTTCTGTTTTTCTGCTGTATTTACATCGCAGTGTCCATATAAACTGTAAAACTCCCTGCATAATTATAATAAAGCAATTTATATGCATGAAACAAGTGGCGCAATATGGCAATTGCCGTACTGTTCCACTTGTGAAAGTAAAATCTGTTGGGCTCTTTTTGGCATCAAGACAATTATTCTTATTGCCACATTGCCAGACAGGACACTGTAAAAAAATAAATAAATAAATAAAAAAGCTACAGTAGAACTGCAGTCAGTCCCTAGAGTGGCATGGCCATCACTACCCCTACATAGTTAGAGACAAATGCAGAGGACTAATTTCCCACTGGGATCAGTTTCATAGTCATAGTACGCCACTTCTTTGATTTTATTTTGCTCAGGCTACTCGTAAACACGCAACTTGCCAAATGTTGAAAGGGCAATATCATTGCCTGTACTGTTAATATAAAGTAGAAATTTTACACATTTAGTTATAAAATGTCATAGGGGATGGTATTGGGGGGGTCATTTGCGAAGGGGGAGGATTTTT